GGTGCAATGTAGGAGAAGGTTTGGGTTACACTCAATGTCAATTAAAGCACCTATCTGCTCAAATCATATGTTCCTACCCTCCATGATGGATTCTTTGTAAAATGTAGATTTCCTTCATTTCCGGAATTACCCTCTTTGGATAAAATTATTAATATAAACATTCATAAGAGAGGGCCAATTAAAGAAATCTATGCTATATTATTAGATCTTCAATCTTACAGTGGGAGAAAGACCTTGGAATGGATATAACAAATGAACTCTGGAAATCTTTTCATTACAGGGTACATATGTGCCAGGCATGGGCTCTTCCAGTTCACTGATTACAGATCTCCAAGGAAAAGTTAGCCAAGTTCTATCTAGGAGCTGACCCCCTATGTAACATGTAAAACAGAAACCAGTTCACTCCTTCATACTTTTTGGACATGCCCCAGTCTTCATAACTTTTGGGTCTCTATATGTAATACCTTTTCAGAGATCTGTAACGTTAAATTTGATCCTTCTGTTCTAACGGCTATCTTTTGAGTGATAACTCCAAATGTCACTCTCTCAAAATACTATTCAAATTCTATTGCCTTTGCTTCACTCACTGCAAGGCGCCTTACACTTTTAAGATGGAAGCAGGAAGCTCCTCCCACACATGAATGGTGGCTTGCAGAGCTCATAAGGTCTTTGCATTTGGAAAAGATGAGATATACACTGGCAGGTACAACCACCAAATTTCTTAAGGCATGGCAGCCATTTCAGCCATTTCATGGAAACATTTAAAATGATCACCTTATCATGAACGGATACCAAATTTCGACATCACTATCGTAGTTAACGGTACACTGAGGGTCCCTCATACATTTTATTTTTCTATTTGTGTTTTGTTTTTGTGTTTATTTTTGTTTGTTTTTTTTTCCTCTCCTCTCTCTCAGTTATCTTTTGGGGTATTGTAAGTATTGAGCAGCAAAGTACTGTATATTCAAAGTTTTGCTATTACCATGGTGTTGTAACTGAAAATCAAATTTTATTTAAAAAAAACTTTATATTGCGTCTTGACATAAGTTTTTCAATTAGCTCTATGAATACCACTAATGACTACACTAGCCAATTACATATTGTAAATATATCTTTAGTACACCTCAGATGCTACTCTTTCATTTTGTTCTTTGCGATTATGCAAGTTCTGTCCCCTCCAGTATATGACTGTTTGCTCACAAAAAGCAGCAGTGACAGCATAGAGCTGACCTATTTAAATTAAAAATCTGTCCTGTCATTTTACTGGTGAATTCAGACTGGTTGCGAGCTTTGTGCTGTAC